GGGATGAAGAACCAAGCAAAGTAGATTTCCGATTTTGGGGGGATTGCAGTACATAGCTGCAGATACTGCATGTGGCTACAAACATTATCATATTTAATACAAAATTCATCATATGACATGAGGGAACCATCTAAATTTAAAACATCATTTACAAACAGAATTCTTCTATTTAGAAAAGCATTTGAAAAGAAAGGTTTTCCACCAATAAGGATATAAGAATTCATACATAAAAGCTGTTGTCTAATCTCAGCTGGAGTTGTGGGGGCCTTATGTTGATATTTATACCAAGCATATACAATATCATATAAGAAAGAATTTAGTTTCAGGTACTGTAAGCTATCCAACTGGAGAAAAGGAAATAATGTATATCCAACAGAAAGATATGTACTTAAAGACCAGGAGGTAAACCAATCAGGATTAAAATATAATTTTGGCATCCACGAAGCTTTGATGGAGAGGGAGAAGGCATATAAGTTAATTAAATTCAAACCACCATTTTCAATTGAGTTGTAAATTGTTTTCCTACTGACCCTTTCTGGACCCCCATTCCAAATAAAGGAAAATATTTTTCTCTCATATATTTTAAAAAAGGATTTACTTGGGGATGGGAGCACCTGGAAAAGATTAGTAAACTGGGAAACAATCAAACAATTTATGACAGTAATTTTTCCAAACAAAGATAAACTTTTGCTTTTCCAGGGGAATAATAATCTATCTAATTTTGCTAAACGGGGTTGAAAGTTGCAGTTAATAATGGACCCCAAATCCCTAGGTATATGTATGCCTAAAAGGTCTACCTCCCCATCTACCCATTGAATAGGTAGATGGGAAGGTAGTTTAAAATTCGTGTTTTTTAAAGAACCAATTTTAAGTATCTTACACTTGTCAAAATTTAAAGATAAACCCGAAAGATGGGAAAAACTTTGTAAATCATCAATAAGGGCATTAAAGGATGCTAATTTGGGAGCAAAGGGGAAATTACTATCATCAGCATATTGAGAAATTTTACAGTGCCTTCCATGAAAAGATAAACCAGTCAACTTTTGATTGCTGCGTATCTTAATGGCCAACAGTTCTACAACAATAATAAATAAATAGGGGCTCAGAGGACAACCTTGTCTAACACCACGATATAAAGTAAAAGGATTTGATAAATAGCCATTGTTTGACACAACGCTCGTAATATTAGAGTACAAAGTTTTAACCCAAGCTATAAACTTGGGGCCAAAGTTGAAAAATTCTAATGCTTTTACCATGAAATCCCACCTCACTGAATCAAATGCTTTCTGATAGTCAGCAATAAAAACTAGACCTGGTTTATCTTCATTTTCATAATGATCAATTAAATCTAATATACGTCTAATATTATCTCCAATAAATCTTCCTTTAATAAATCCTGTTTGATCATTATGAATAATGTCAGAGATAACAGATTTTACACGCAAAGCCAAACATTTAGAAATAATTCTTGTATCGCAACATAATAATGTGAGGGGCCTCCAATTATTCAAAAGTGTAGGATCTTTGTATTCCCCGTTGCTCCCTTGTTTTAGTAATAAAGAAATTATTCCTTGTCTTTGTGTATCTGATAAGTAGCCTTGTGACAAGGAGTAATTAAAACAATCTAGCATTGGGGTTTTAAAAACAGAAAAGAAATGTTTATAGACTTCCACCGGAATTCCATCAATTCCAGGTGTTTTGCCATTTGAAAAGGAATTTATAGCAATGAGTAATTCTTCTTCAGTAATTAGGTCCTCACACGCTTCCAGCTGATCATTAGATAAACGCTTTTCATATTCATCAGGGAAAAAATGCTCAGAATTTTTAGGGGTCAGGGGTATTGGAGGTTCTTCAAAAGAATAAAGGGTAGAATAGAAATCAACTTGTTTTTCTAAAATTTCCTGAGGATCAGAGGTAAAAGTTTCATCCGATATCTTTAATTTTTGAATGTTTTTCCGGGTATAATTTCTATGAACCATGTTTAAAAAGTATTTAGAACTCCTTTCCCCAAATTCCATCCATCGAGCTTTAGATCCAACCAAGATTCCTTGTAAACGGTGATTATACAATAACTCTAGTTGTTTTTGTTTGTTGTCCAAATCGTCGAGCATGGAATCTGGGGGAGACT